GTCATCAGAGCTTCTCAGCTTAGTTATCAGGCTTAAGGGGCCCATCCTTTAGCACTTAACAGGCACCAATTGTATGGCTCACAATCAAGTAGTTACCTAATGTGGCTAATGGAGAGCGGCACTGGGAGGAGACGAGACAGCTGGTGTTGGACCGTGAGTAATAATAAGTACAATATATGTGCCAAACATGTTGGGACCTTTAGATATGTTATCTTATTTCGTCCTTACAACAGCCTATGAAGTAGGGATTGTTATTCCTGTTTAATCAGTGAGGAAGTCTTTGGATTGGGGATTAAGAAACCAGAGTTCTAAGTTTTAATTAGCCATCAGTGAAAACTGAAAACCCTGGACCAAATGAATGGCTTTCCAATTATGTTTCTAGGAGCCCTGAGGCTCAGCAGAAATGCCCAGGGAACGGAGGAGCTGCTGAGAGGACAGGAGTGGCTATTTGTACCTCACCCACAGCAGCTCTGCCTTGATCTTTAAGTATCGGCAGGACTGGCTCCACAGGTATGCAACCAGTGCAGCTGCACAGGGTCTGCTGAGCTCAGAAGCACTCTGTGCTTAGGAGTTAATGCTCTGCAGCATTCTGGAAATGCTTAGTAATTGTATCTTTTAGGGGCGCCTGGGTGGCTTAGTCAGTTAAGCGTCCGACTTTCGCTTAGGTCATGATCTTGCGGTTCGGGCCCCGCATCGGGCTCTGTGCTGACTGCAGCTCAGAGCCTGGAGCTTATTTCAGAGCCTGTATCTCCCTCTCTCTCTGACCCTCCCCTGCTCACGCTGTCTCTCTCTCTCTCTCTCCTAGAAATAAATTTAAAAAATTAAAAAAAAATAACTGTATCTTTTATTCTGTAGTTTGTAAGTGAAGGCCTATGGAACAATGGAGCAGGTGCCAGGGGCTTGGAGCTCTGACTCACGGTTGGGTCTATGTCCTGTTGCCTGTCTCCACTGCCTGCTCTTGGTCCCTGGTGAGGTCCTCAGCCTCCTTTTTCTGCTTTGCTCTCCTCCTCCTGGGTTATAAGCTGGGTTGCATTGTCAGGGAGAGAAGAAAGGGAGCCGTGTTCCATGGCCTCTAAATCCCACAGGGGCCTGGCCATGAGCATGGGGAGGATGGGCTCAGATACCTATCCTGAAGGTCTTAGATAAGAGGGTGGCCACCCCCACCCAGGCCAGAAGCACCGTAGTGCATTCCGTGGATGCTCTTACCCACCCTCAACCCAGACACCAAGTCATGAATGACATAGAAAATGGTAACATTTTGTTTGTTTGTTTTTTAAATTTGTTAAGTGTTTGTTTATTTTTGAGAGAGACAGAGCACAAGCAGGGGCAGAGCAGAGAGAGAGGGAGACACAGAATCCGAAGCAGGCTCCAGGCTCTGAGCTGTCAGCACAGAGCCCTATGTGGGGCTCGAGCCCACGAATTGTGAGATCATGACCTGAGCTGAAGTCGGATGCCTTACCAACTGAGCCACCCAGGTGCCCCCAAAATGGTAACATTTGTATAGCCTGTTGTGGTAAGCAGTCAAGGTAGTACTGCTTACCTTTGAGTCCCACTCAGGAGCCCCAAAAGCTGATGGCACACAGATGGTAGACTTAGGTAGATGGGGTCTCTGCCTCGGTCCTGTGTTCCCTTTTCTGCCCCCACCCCACGGGGCCCCACTCTTCCCTAGATAACAGGGCAAGTTATCTGGGGGCCAAGGGGACCCACCTGCCAAGTCCGCAGCCCTTCTTCAGCACTGGTTGTTTTATCCCCCAGTCCAACACAAACAAATATGTGGCCTTGCTGTGCATGACTAATGCACAGCTCACACCACTTGGGACTCACAGTGTGAATCCGACAGCCCTGGAACTGGTCTATCCACTATTAAGTCAGAGAAGTTCAGTTACACCAGTTCACCGTTGGATGTTCCAGCAATAGAATTTTTCTAAATGCTTGCATTCAGTGTATATATTTAAGCCACAGCAGGCAAGTAACAACAGTTTGGTTCCTGGATCACACTGAGAAGCTCTGTTCTAGACTATTCTATGGGTGCAGAGACTCTGGAATTACCAGCCCAAATCACACCAAGCCTGCTTCCGGGTTTTTCTGGGCCTCTTCTCCTGATTTCATTCTCCAGGTTGGCCCTCCCCTGGGCCAAGGGGCAGCCGTTCACTGGGATCAGTAGAGATGGAGATTGAATATGTGTGCTGGGGTGTCCGTACACATGCATCTGAGGCCCTTTTGGTGTAGGATGGAAGGGGGTGTGAAAAGAAAGGGAGGTAGGCTCCAGCTGATGGAGGAAGGGACCACAAAGATTTGGGGCAAGAATCTGTTTCTCCGCACATCCGGAACACATCCATAGTGCCCCTCATTCTACAGCCCCTCGTTCTACCAATTAGGAAACTCTAGACCAGCCATTTTCTATGGTGACTTTCAATGTTTTGAATTCTGGTTTCTATCCCGTGGCCACAGTTGAGAGCCTCTTAACATTTGTAGAGCAACTGGGTGATGTGTGGATGTACTATGTGTTGTTTGGATCACTGCTTCCTCAGATGTGTGGGGACTGTGGCCTTGTCAGCTCTGCCTAGTCAACCAATCCCCCTACCCCCTTTGTATATCAAATATACTGTGCTTCTGATGCATTCCTCTTGGCAAACATTTTCTCCACATTCTAGGAAAGGATTTTGTTTGTTTTCCTTAAGTTTGATTAAAAGCAAAGCCAGGCTAACTCCCCAAAATAAAGGCAAATGACTTGACAATTTAAAGAAATCCACACAGTTAGCCAATAGGCACATAAATAATATGGTATCTCTAGTAAATCAAAAAGTCTAAATCCAAGCGAAAGAGCCCAAATGTCCATCAACGGATGAATGGATAAAGAAGATGTGTTACTCGGCAATCAAAATGAATGAAATATTACCATTTGGAACTACGTGGATGGAACTAGAGGGTATTATGCTAAGCGAAATTAGTTAGAGAAAGACAGATATCATATGACTTCACTCATATGAGGACTTTAAGATACAAAACAGATGAACATAAGGGAAGGGAAGCAAAAATTATATAAAACTGGGGGGGGTAGACAAAAGATATGAGACTCTTAAATTTGGAGAACAAACAGAGGGTTACTGGAGGGGTTGTGGGAGGGGAGATGGGGTAAATGGGTAAAGGGCCCTAAGGAATCTACTCCTGAGTTCATTGTTGCACTACATGCTAACTAACTTGGATATTAATTAAAAAAATAAATTAAAAAAGAAAAATGTAAATGCAATGAGATACTTTATTTTGCCTCTTAAGTTAACAAAGATGAAAAACAAAAAGGAAACTATTCAGTGTTTTGTGAGGGTTTGGGGAATATTGCTATTTCATATACTATTGGCAGAGGGCAATAGGGTAATTGAAGAAAAATTCATAGAGGTAAATCTGGCAGTGTATCACAAAAGACTTTAAAATGTGCAAATCCTTTGAAATCTTGAGGACACTGTTCCATATTTTCTTACATCCACTAGTTGTTGATAATAAGTCTAATGTTGGGACACCTGGATGGCTCAGTTGGTTAAGCATCCAACTTGATTTTCAACTTGGGTCATAATCTCGCGGTTTGGGGGTTCAAGCCCCACATCAGGCTCTGCACTGATAGTGGAGCCTGCTTGGGATTCTTCCTCTCCCTCTTTCTCTGCCCCTCCCCTCCCAAAATAAATAAATAAGCTTCAGGGGGAAAAAAACGTAATGTTGATCTCACTGTTGTTTCATTTTCCCCCCCACTTCTGAAGCTTTTTCTTGTTAATAATGGTGTTTGAAATTTCACTAAGCTCTGTCTAGGTTGAGTTTTCTTTGTATTTGTCTTGCCAAGTGTTTGGTAGGCTGTTTCCACTTGGAGTTCGGAGCTCCTGGTCAAGATTAGCTCTTTCTGGCAAGCAGCCCCTAACCTGAGGCTATCATTCAGTTGCTTCATTAGAACAGATGGCGCCCCTATCTTCTATCACTTGCACAATTCCAAGGGATGGAGGAGCTCTGTGTCGTGAACTGGAGCAAAGACCCAGTGTGGTAACAGAAGATGCTCCCCGCCCCCCACCCCGTCACTCAGGAGATGACCAGGGCTTTAGGAGCTCGATGCCAGGAACTGAGGCAAAAGACCAAATATGTATTTCTTATCTTATCACAGTATCCCGCCTCACAGCCCACTGCGTCATTGCTGCCTGGCCTCAGGCCCTTGGCCTTCGTGTGGCTGTTGCAGAGCCTCTGCTGGCTTCTAGTCTCCCACCTGGTAGCTCTCCCTCCCTCGTGCTTCCTGGGCCCCCTTTTCTCTTTTCCATCAGATACTCATCATCCATGAATTCCTTGGTGTCGCCCTCTTGCTTTTCAGTGTAGTTAACCTCATTCTATCATTGCTTGCCATTTGTCATGGAAGAAACACATGCTCAGTCCAAGATCTTGAGATGGACTTGAGTATAAAAACTCTGTACAACCAGTAATTCCCCTTGTAGGAATAAATATTAAGGAAGGAATTAAGAATAAAGCTTTAACCCCAAGGAATTTCAAACACAGTAACATTTATTGTGAAAACAACCAAGCTGGGGGGGACTGAATAAGTGGTGACACAAGGGCGCCCGGCTGGCTCAGTTGGTTGATCGTCCAACTCTTGATCTTGGGATCATGAGTTCAAGTCCCATGTTGGGCATAGAACTTCCTTAAAATAAATAAATAAATAAATAAATAAATAAATAAATAGATAGATAGATAACACATCTACACGATGGCAGTCTAAGTGTGAAAACTACTATGGCAGAATATTTAATTGAATGGAAAAATGTCATTGATGTATTGTTACATAAACATTTCAGTTTACAAAATTATTTTAAAGTCTCATTTTTGTTAAAACACACACATATTCTTTTAGAAAAGGGTAGTGCTGCATGCTGGGATTCTGGTGACTTATTTTCTTTGTGGGTTTTTTCCACACACTCTTGGGGATTGTTTATGGCAACTGTCACATGTCATCCTTCACTTCCCTCCCCAAGGTGTGCTGGAAGATGGACCGTCCTCCAATGGCGTGCCCCGATCTACAGCCCCAGGTGGAATATCCAATCCGGAGAAGAAGATGAGCTGTGGGACCCAGTGCTCGAATCCCCAGAGCCTCACCTCAGGCCCTCTGACCCAGAAACAGAATGGCCTTCGTACCACGGAGGTAGGTGACAGCCACAGAACCCACATGGGACTGGAGCCAGGGGAGAAGCTTGCTTCGGTACTGGGCTACGCGTACCGAGATGGCACCCGGGGAAGAGGCAGGGACAGCGGTGGAAATTCTCCATGCCCCCCGTGTGAAGGTTGTTGCAAAGAAAATGGCAGGACCCCACCCCACCCCAACCCCTGCCTTGAGGTTTGCTATGTTTTTATGAATCAGGGGAAATGGGCCCTTGCTATCTGCACTCTGAAGGGGAAAACGTGTGTTTGTTTAAATACATCTTTGTTCAGGGATCTCCTTTTCACCGCGGCTCTCACCGTCCTGGCACCGGGGGCTGCGCTGGATACCAGAACCAGGCTTCGGCTGGGTGGTTGCAGGGCTCAGGGTTGACCGGGAAGGAGAGAGAAGACCGGTGTGGTAGGAGGTGAGCCGGACGTTTTACGGCACACCCTTTCTCCAGGCAGGCGGTGGGAGCGTCCCCTAGGGGGGCTGTCATTGCAGAATGCGGCGGCAGCATCACCGGCAGACGACTAGTTGTTTCTGGCTGGCCCCCCCGAGCCAGCGGGCATCCTTTGCATTCTTCCCTTTCACCCAGAGCTCTTGCTGGGGCGCGCTCCTCCGGTTGGCCCTGCTTACTCCCCGGGGAAAGAATGCCCTTAAAAGGCCCCCCACAGCCTCCAGGGTGGGGGAGTGGGTTGGAGGAAGTGGGGGGCCTCCTCCTCTTCCTCCCTTCCTCCTCCACCCCTTCCTCATCCCCATGCCCCATCCTCTGCAGAGTCGCTGCTCACCTGATGCTGATTGTCCAAACCCCACCTCCTCCCCCACCTCCCCTGTCAAAATGTACTGGTCCTGAGCCTGGGGCCAGTGGGGCCAGTGGGGCCAGTGCCGCCTGTTTTCTGAGGCTGCAGCCCGTTCTCTATCAATAGAAGTCTTGCTCCCATGAGTGAGTTGCCTCTTTAACCCTTGGTTAGAAAACCCGTTGCAAATTCAGCTCTGATGCTCATTAACTAAGTGGCCTGGCAGGACCCACTTAATCTCTCAGAGTCTCAGGTTCCTTAGCCACACACCAGAAATCATTCCAAAATGAGAGAACAGCAGGGACTGCTCTTCGTAAACTGGGAAGTGCCATAAGGAAGGCAGCAAGGATCAGCAAGGGGTGCGTAGGGACACAGCACTGCAACCTGGTGAAATGGAACACCGGTGCTGGCTCTTCAGACACTGTAGAAAGACATGGGTGGGGGAGGTGGACTTGAGGTTGACCTTCCTGTGGTCCTGTATCGCCTGCTTGGCCTGTGCATGAGCTGGCCTTTTAATAGCAATTTTTTTAAAGTTTATTTTGAGAGAGAGAGAGAGATGGCACGTGCAAGTGTGAGGGGGCAGAAAGAGAGAGAGAGAGGAGAATCCCAAGCAGCCTCCACACTGTCAGCACAGAGCCCCACGTGAGGCTCAGATCTTAAGAACCGCGAACTCATGACCTGAGCTGAAATCAAGTCAGACGCTTAACCAACTGAGCCACCCAGGCGCCCTCTCTGAGCTGGCCTTCTCGAGACCTAATAACCATTGTCTCTCCCAAGGGTAGGCCCCACAGAACTGTGCTCAGAAGCTCAGTGACTACTCTAGTGCAGGCCTTGACTTTCACTCCCTACCTTCCTCCCGACACATGTGCTGTCACCCTTTGAGTCCAGATGGGTCATGGTCGGCAGGGAGCAGCTTTGCCTGGTGTGTGGGGTCATCCACACACACTTGGTTCCTGGCTCCATACTTCATCATCTTAAAATTGTGCTCTGCAATTTGCCAAGTGCTTTTGGGTCTGCTGGTGCCTTAAATTCTTCCAAGAGCATCTTAGAATAAGCATCACCACTAACCCACAGAAAAGGAAACGGTTCATTTGACTTATGACATAGTTGCTAGAAGTGCTGGAGGTGGGTGCCAGGGACTTTAAATCGAAACAGGTGACTATTACAGAGATGGAGCATAGAGATGCTATTGCAGAAGAAGGTATCAGTCAGCTATGGCCACAGTAACGCTGCACTCCAAGCACACCAGTGTCCAGTAGCTTCAAACAACAATCTTTTTTTCCCCTCTTGCAGTCAGCTGCCACTTGAATGGCTAGGCCTCACTCCAGGCTCCAAGTGTAGCTTAATCTCTTCCATGTATATTATTTTGGGAATCAGGCCCAAAACACAGCAGCTCTCTGAGGTGTATCTTCTCATGACTATGGTAGAAAACCGAGAGGGCAAAACCAAACTTCTGGAACACTTTTCCTGTCTCTGCTCATATCATGCCACCTAATCTCCTATTGGCCCAGACAGGTCACATGGTTAAGCCCAACATCCATAGGGCAAGGGAGTATACGTTGTCCCCAGGGGAGAGACAGCAAAGGATTGAGGGCAGTAATGCTATCTACCACACGTAACAGTACATCAAGAAAACACCCATGTCGGTCCTAAGGGCAATGAGTTTTTATCAGATGACACACCCAGGTACCATCATCCGTATGAAAGCATAGAACATTATCACTACCCCAGAAATCTCCCTCGCGCCCCTCACCATGGTGACTGGGATGTGCCAGTCACTGTCCACCCCTGCAACCTAACCGCTCTTCTGACATCTGGCATTATAGACCAGTTTTATTTATGTTTTAGACTTTTATAAATGGAATCGTATGGTACGTGCTCTTTTGGGTCTGCCTTCTTTTGCTCAGTACAATGCTAGTGAGTGTCATCTATGGTATTGTGAGTTGCAAAGATTTCTTCATTTTCATTGTTATGTCTATTTTGGTCTGTAAATGTGACCATTCTACTTGAAGGACATTAAAGTTGTTTCCGGTTTGGAGCTATTGTGAACAACACAGCTATTAACATTCTTGTGCCGCCCTTTTGATGGACATTCCTTTCTTTTTGGTATATACTTAGGAATAGAGTTGCTGGCTCATAAGATGGGGATATATTATACTTTTATAGATACTGACAACTAGTTTTCCAAAGTGGTTATACCATTTTGCATGCTAACCAGCAGTGGGTGAATTCCAGTTATGGAACATAAGAACTTAAAGCCATTAAGTTGTGCTCAGTCTTCCTTAGGCCTGTGATAACAACCTTGCAGGCAGGTATAGGATACTAAGCACTTTGTTATATTATCTCACTCAATCCTCACAATGACTCTAAAATGTTGATATTATCTCCAGTTTACAGACGAGAAAAGAGACTCAGAAATAGCCAAGGGAAGCAGTCCCCACCACACACATACACACACACAAACACACACACACACACACACACACATACACATGGTGGATTCCGCCCTGGGGGAGGGAGTGAGGACCTATACACACACCTGACCAGCACAAGTGGCACTCACGGATAAGCCATCTGCGGGGCTTGTTTTCACAATGCAGTGAGCAATGGCTATGTTGTAACTACTTCCCAAGTAAGATCAGGGAGCAGACGGCTTCGGTTCTGCGTGTTAGGACAATTGCTGAAGTGTATCAGTGGCCTCTGTGTCCCGAGACCTCACCAGCCACCTGACGTCTCAAGTTCCTCGAAAGCCGTGGCAAAGCTTTTCTATCTACAGCGTGAATTTACAAGACATGTTTACCTCTGGTTGAAGTTTCTGTCCGCAGAGATGTCTCATACCAACACAGCTCTCAGCTGTGAAACTGCTCAGTGATAATCGTTTCTTACTAAACCCTCTGTGCCCTTCGGCATTCTGTCTCTTCCTAGCTGGTCTATACTCTGGGCTAAAGCTTCCTGCGTTTTCAGCGTCCTACTCAGGCAGTATCCACTCGCCTCTTCCATCTTTCTCTACCCGCCCAGGATGACCTATTACCGTTTCACGGTGTCCCCCTGTTTACCATCAGGCCACCTGGATAATGGACTTCGGGCACTTTTTAAAACTTTCTTTCTCCAGAGGAACCTGTGCGTGAAGTGTGCATCTTTATGCACTTGCGTACTGCAGTGTCCCATTCAGATTTACAAAACAGGTTTGAGTGTTAAAAGCAATCTTTGGTAGCCCTGGAAAATGTCAGTTCCTAAAAGCATTCTTTGGATTCGTTCTTGTAATGTTCTTCCACTGAGTTGCATCTATGTGCCAGGTGTTGTTCTTATGCCAAGGGTCCGGGAGTGGAAAAGGCACACGTGACCTTTACTCCAAAGTAGCTGCCAGTTTTAATGGGGTAAGGCTGGGGTGTCAGACAATATAAAATAAACGAACAACAGCTTTATCAATTTGAAATAGTGCTATTTATTTCAAGGAAACAAAAGACCACTAGGAGGGGAGGGCAACCCCTATGTTTCACACAGATGCCACCCAGAGGTTCAGATTGCTTCCCTAAGAGTGACGGGGACAGCGAGTGGTGCTAATTGCTGTGAGCAACAGCATCTCGTGTTCTGGGCCGCACTCCACTTCTGTCCCATCAAACAAGCCTTAGCTTCCTTATTTCAGTTCCTTCTGGCCTCTGTCTTGTGCCTGGTGTTAACAGGTGACAACTAGCAAAAAAGATGTGACAAAAACGATCTTTCGCGAATGAGAACAGTCTCCATAGAGAGCACTTTCTCTTTCTCTACTGCTCCTTGACTTCCCCCAGTCCCTTGGGGCCTTTGAGACATTTCAGCACCTTAGTAATCATTGACTGGGCCTCCTTCCCCCAGCTCCTTCCCTGAGCTCAGTAAGAACACCCGAGGAAGTTCTTAGCTGCTAATTGATTGTTCAGGAAGTCTGCACTGCCTCCAAAGCTTTGCTCTTGAATGTGCCAATTTCTCAGGCTTAGGATCCCTCTTTTGCTGCCCCAGAACCATCTCTTCAAGTATTTGGCTAAGGTCGAAACATGTATGAGGATCTGCTCTGAGCAGATAAAGCGTGACTGTGTGGCTGGCCTCCCATTGAGCCTTCGAGTCTTCAGAAACTGAGTCATTTTGAGTTGCTTTATTGTTCTTGGTGAAGCGGCCACCAGACTGTGCTGAAGAACTTGGCCGATGTCTGGTTCTCAGCTAAGGAGCTCTCTC